GTGTTCTCACAGGCTGGCGCCCGCCCTGAGGCGGGCAGCAGCCACACCTCATCCTGCCTCCTGCCTCACCCGCCCGCGCCCCCTCTGCCATCCCCTAGGAGCCCCTTTTGCCATGTCTGGCCCTCCCAGGCCCCGCCGCATGGCTCCTGGCTGTGGCAGGTCAGCCCCAGGAGGACGGCAGGGTGTGAGTGCCAAATCCAGCCGGGAGGAGAGATCTGGGGAGAGGGAAGTACTGGGGGGAAGGGAGATGGGGTCAGGAGCTGAGGAGGGGTGGGGGAGAGACAGGATGAGAGAGGTGAGGGGGCTGGAGGGGGAGAAGGAGGCTGGAGGGGGAGTGAAGGGTAGGAGGGGGCAGGAAGGGGAGCACAATGAGTCACGGAGCAGGGAGGGGATGAACCATTTCATCGGGGGTGTCTCACTCGCAGGACAGTTTAAGTGACACTGAAGCCTCGTGATATTTCCTGAGCTCCTGGAGTCAGGGAGCAGCTCAGCACCCGCCCAGCTGCACAGGAAAGTTAGATGGCAAGGCCCACAAAGGCTCAGAAATGAGCAGGCCAACAAAGTTTCCCTGAGCTCGCTGGGCCACATCAAACCCCTTCTGCCCCTCCCGCCTCCTGGGGACAAAGCCCTCGCCGAGGGACTGTTCCCCACCGCCGGCCTCCACGTGTCACACCAGCGGGGCCGGGGCCAGGTCTGGGCAGTAACCTGGGGCATTTTGATGCGTTTCAGTTTCGTGAGAGCGTGAAAAGGAACCTGAAACCCACCAGAGATGGGGGCGGGGGAGGGTTGTTCAACCCGGGGCGGTTGTGATGCTTCTCTCCAGCGTCGCGTTCTCGGAGCTGGCAACGTCCAGCGTTTCCCCACTTAAAAATGCCTCCCCCCTCCCCCCAAACCCCAGCGCTCGAGGTCATTCTCCCCCATTTCGGCTAGGACATTCGCCCTTCGGCTCTGCCTGCCGGCTCGCGGCTCCCCGCCCCAGACGGTTCCAGGTATGATACTAATAGCAATGGTAGAGTCCAATGTTAGTGAGTCACGTAAGCAATTGTGATCGGTAAACATAAATGCCAGAATAATTAGAAAAATAAATTCCTGTTCTTAATAAACCCTTAATCATGTATGTTAAAATTAAGTATGTTTTAGTGGAGTGAAAAACAATTGACTAAGATAATGGTAGTAACACAGAGTGTGTCTATTAGAGAAAGTAAGCAGATTTTAATCAGATTTATTTATTTGTATTTATCTCTGCTAAAGATAGTGTATAAAGCAGCGATTCTCAAATACGGCCACCATGGTCGCATGTGGCCACCAGGGGCTTTTCTTGTGGCCACAGCCTCCTGGGGGGAAAAGCAGCCATCCCTCCCCCCTCCCTGTTGCTCCTGGATGTGCCAACTTGATGTTGGTTGCTGGGGCTGCCAGCAGGGGCTGGCCCCTGCCGCTGCCCCCCTCTGGAAACACCTGGGACACAACACTGGAGGAGAAGGCAACTTGTGAATTCCCCACTTTCCCAGGGGTGGTGGGGCTTGGGCTTCAGCCCTGGGATGGCGGGGTGGCAGGCTCTGGCCAAGGGGCTTCAAGCTCCTTCCGGGGGCCCCGTCCCCCAGGCTTCAAGTTCTGGCTCCCTGCTGCCTCCCCCACCTCTCATCGCCCCTGGTCCCTGCTGCCTAGCCATCCACCTCCCCATCCAGGGCTTAATTTGTCCCCAGGCTTGCATAGGCTGAGTAAGTCTGCTGTGGAAAGTGATTCCTGTACGTTTGTTAATATCACTTTTCATAGCAGCAGACTTACTAGCTAGCAATAATTAAATTACAATGATTTTGATGTGCATATTTATTTGTTTTTCCCAAAGTTAATTATTTTAGGGAAAAATTGTCAGAGCGGCCACCAGCAGGAGTTGGTGGCCTCACTCTGAGGCCAGGAAAAAATTTGTCCTGGTATGAAGTATCAAACATGTGTTTCTGATATCAGTGTTAAAGCACCAGAACTGATACCTCAAGGCTTGGGATTGGGAATATCTTGCTGTATTATCTCCTGATTGTTCTAAATTTACATAGAAGCTTTAAATGAGGCTTTAATTGGCATTTGTATATATTTTTTCTTTCCTAGAATATCAGGGTGAAAGGGAACTCACGAGGTCATCTCGTCCAACCCCCTACTCAAAGCAGGACCAATCCCCAGACAGATTTTTGTCCTAGATCCCTAAATGGCCCCCTCAAGGATTGAATTTATAACCCTGGGTTTAACAGGCCAATGCTCAAACCATTGAGCTATCCCTCCTGCATATAACAATTTAACAAAAGCTATCCCTCCCCCTATATAACAATTAGATACAGAGCTCCTGTTGGCTAATTCCTAAGTTATTATCTGCAAAAGCTCCGAGAGTTTTCAGGTGCCTAAGTAGTCCCTGAAAACATTGTTAAAGTTTCCTCCCACCCCCGAAAATCTGAAATGACACCCAGGAGCCAGGAGTGGCCAGGGGGCTGCAGGAGGCCGTGGGCTCTGGCAAAATGCAGCCCCCATGTGCAGCGTAAAGCCCGCCTTGAGCCACATGCCGAGCACCAGGCCCCACAAGCCCCAGCAGCAGCCGTCTGCGCTGCTCCTGGCGGTGGTGTTGTCTTCAGAGCTGGGCGCCCGGCCAGCACCCACTGGTATCAGGCCGCACTACCAGCACTTAATTTGTGCCAGGGCTGAGCTCTGGCATCTCTTTCAATAAAATTAAGCACTGGGGCTAGGCAGCAGTGCCCAGAGGTGATGGGGGAGTGGGGAGCCTGTGGGGGCCAGGGAGGGGTGATGTGGCCCTCCAAAATACAAGTTTACCCATGGCGCCATTTTTAGGGTTACCATATTTTGAGTGTCCAAAAAGAGGACACTCCACGGGGCCCCGCCCCCGCCCCAACTCCGCCTCCTCCCCTGCTTCCCGTGAACATTTGATTCGCGGGAAGCCTGAAGCAGGCAGCAGGTAAGCTGGAGGTGGGTGGGGGG